AAATTTTCACTTCTCTGTCTCCTTTTCTTTTTTTCTTTTTTTTTCAAAAATAAAAGCATATGGAGTAACGAAGCCAATATGCAGTTGAATGTCCTTATCCTCTATTCGAGTCTTTAATACTTAGACTATTCAGAAGTGGTAGAAGACTTGACAGACAAAAATTTTAAGCAATTCCCCTTTCTCCCCCCGCCCCCACCTTTGAGCTTCCTAACAAAGCAATCCTGCAATCAATGGTGCTTCAAAAACCAAAAAAAACGGAGCATAGACTGTAGAGACTGTAAAGGCGCGAGAGGAAACGTTAAAGTGCAGGAACAACCGAGTTTTTAAAGAGATCTGTCTAAAAAATCCTGACTTTCCAAAATCTGATTTTCCGGTGCCTTTCACAAGATACACTCTCTTAGCTTTTCTCGCATACGACCTCAAACGGACGGCTGATCCTGGTGATAGCATTAAAATCTACTGCACAAATGCTAGCAGAGAGCCTTAGCATGGCAGATTTTAGAACATTCCAGAACAAAGGCTGAATTTCAATGAGATTTTGGTCATTTCCGTTCTTAAATGAGCTCAAACTTCTTGCTCGAGGTGTGAATTGGTTATCAAGGGTGCACAATAGATTTCTCACTGCTGGAAACCTGATGCTCCGACTTCGGGCCTTCTTGTGCAGGGGAAGACATTGCTGTTATCGTTTGTGCAGGGTGGCGATAAATCCAAGCCCGGTAGGGGTAGCCTCTGAGAGCGACTGGATGGAAGGAAACGGCTAACGGTTATCGCAATTCATTGCGTGCGCATAAATGCCATCAAATATCCCTACGAATCCGAGAGAAAACGAGTTTGTGGCACATGCCCACAAGTTAGTGAGTTCAAGGACAAACCGTCGAATCGTTTCGATCACTGACCCCTGCTCGGTGTCCCTGGAAAAATTCCCCCGATCTGTTCATTCATTATTCATCGTAATTGAACGGATATCCAATGAGTCAGTGTGAAATTCGACTATTCCGTGACGTGTGTGGTCTTAGTGGGGGAGTCTCATCGAATTAGCAAGGGTAATGCACATCGGGACTCAATTACCCACTTTGGCAATGGGAATGGTCGGGTTTCCGCATGGCGTCTGCAGAGATCCAGTCTATAAGTTGGGATTCTTGGCTAACAGCCTTACCTATAGAGCCAGAACAATGTCGGTGGCGGTGTTCCTCTGGGGGCTTTGCAGTCGATCGTCAGTGAGTCGCCTTCCATCACCTGGATCCTCCTCACCGGTCGTGGCGGGAAGTGCTCCAACTCTGAAAAAAAAACAATTTTACGATTTTATCGCCAAGAAAGGCAAAGAAATCTCTACCTAGACTTGCGAATCCCCTTCATAGTAATACCTCACCTCGGTGGGATTCGATCTCACTGACCGTATCTTTTGAGGTTGCGCCCTTTGCTTCTGCCTTGTCCCTTCTCTCCACATATCCCTAGTGCCGGTGATTATTGCTCGTCCCGCTTATGTTTCTCAGCAAAGCTCCAGCTCCCCGATAAATTTGTCATCGAGACTACTAGAATGCATTTCCATGCAAGTGCGCTCTTTCCCACGGGACTCACCCGTCGCCACACGCGCCGCCGGACCTCCTTATCTAATCAGAGTGTTTTTCCTGTCCTCATCCCTCTTCCATCTGTAATGCACTCTTAATGAAGGCCGCTGCCGGACTTCAACTGGTACCTTAGAATTTTTACGAGCCGACAAAAAAAACTTTGGTGGATAGCCATTGCCGCTCTTCGAAATTGCCGATGGTTATTGATGTGCGAACGGAGAGGTCTATGAGCTTCGACGAACATCTGGTACCAGCCATTCACCTTACCCCCTAATACAATTACGTCATAAGGGCACGGTCAGTGCCTAGCATAGCTCCGATCACCTCGGGATTCGACCAATTAGTCCCCGTTAACGATTTCGCAAGATTGCGGACCGGTGTTATCGGCGATTTTTCAAAAAGCGGCCTAGAGGTGGCCCAAAGCAGTGCCGGCTTGATTCTGATCAGGACTTTGATTTGAGTGCGGTATCTCCCTTCGGTCGCAAGTCTGGAAAATCGGGTGTCAAATTATATAGAATAGCTGAGCCTGCTAAGCATCTAAGGAGATAAATCGTAAGAAGAAAAAGTTTCGTCAACCACCTGATGGCTCCAACCCGAGCGCGTGTGAGCATGAAGAATCTGTTAGGGGTTTGGAAGTGGGACTGGTTTTGTATGGGCCTTTCGTCCGTTTCGAGACTAATCTCAATGCTAATGGCAGCATGGGTACTACTGGATTCCCCCCCCCTTCCTCCTCACCTCCAGGTCACAAAACCAGCTTGTTCTCAGATCTCAGCTACACCCATATTCTTTTCCCTAACTCTAGTCCCAATCCCTGAGCAAGCCATAATGAGCCCTTTTCCGGCAAATGTGGCATTCTTTTTCGCATGGCTACGTAAGCCTCGCATGTTGAACAGGCAGAATATAACTTGCCGTGGAACGCGTTGAGGCGGTGAAGCAAAGAAGTTCTCTTCAGTGCTGAAAAGGATTTTCTTGGAAACGGCTCTCAGAGATTTTCCTGAGGAAGTATTCGACCGCTGGTAGCCTTTCCATTGTAACGTCATAAGGAAGGGCGTTATTGGCGCTAAGCGGTTGACATTAAAGATCCATTACGAATTAATAAAAGGGGATTGGCCAGCGATACAAGACTCTTAAGACCACCCTGAGACAAGGGCAAAGAAGGGCTTCCGTGAGTTCAAGGTTCCCTTTTGTTCCGTGATACATCATATGAAATTTGCATTGAAATGAATTTAACTCAAAGATATCAAAAAGTGACGCGAAAATGGCTTGGAAAATTAAGCTAGTGCCAGCAATTCCGGATTAGACCTCTGGATTTTTTCCTAATAGGGTGGCTCCCTGTTGAAGTGTGAGCACATCCATGACCCCTGCCAGCCATCTTGGACAGCCTTAAGCCGGCGTCAGGGAAGCGTCCAATTTTCGCAGGCGAGGGCGTCGAAAAGTCAATTCGGTCGCGAGGCCAAGAATTCGCCGAAAGGAAATGTGCTGTGTTCGAATGTAATTAAATAAAGGTCTGGTGCGTCGGGAATTGAGGAGCAATACGCTCTCGGCATTTTACTGCTTCTGACGGCGCCACCATAAACTGATTTCAGCGTACACACTGAATGAAGTGCGAGCAAATTATGAAAAATCGTTTCTCGGGGCGAGGAAAGCAGCGATTGTTTGCTACTTCCAGTGTAGAAACAGAATGTATAGAGCAGTGGCAGGAAGCGGCATGAAGATTCGGGTGATTCGAATCTCCTCAGAGCCACTTCCTCCTTTTGTCACTTTGACATTCGTAAACGGTCATCCAATAAAGGAAAAGTGGCTGCAATTTTTCTACTCCCCAGAAATCGAGCAGCTAGACAGAGCAGACTGGCTTTCGGGGTTATGATATGGTGGAAACTACATTATTGAGTCCAACTGACAGATGGGTTATCGTTAAAATTCCAGCAGCAGGTGAGCAGAAACCATTTCTCATTGTAATTATTAGGGCTAAGCTGTTTGCTCTCTCTTTCGTTTCCTCTTTACGTTTCCCAGCTAAACCGTAAAGAAGTAAGAAGTATGAATGCAAAAATGATATTGCCCACTGTTTCAACCTGTTAAGATGCGCCATGCATACGAAATCTATGCCGTTTTTGTGACGCCAAAACCTTCGGAGTTTGCTCGAAAATCGCTGCATTCACGTGTGTAATGGCTAGCGGCCAAAAATTACTGGTATAGCGGGAACATTACACGTAGCTTCATCTCTTAGCGCTAATTATAAACAGCCTTAGGCTCAAATAAGACCCCGTAAAAGCCGAAATGAATTCTGGCTATCGGTCAGTTATCGACGAGCCCATTCTGAACGACTAATGTTGGATTGTTCCTTTTCGAATTGGTTATATTCTCCAAATACTTTATGAATAAAGGAGAGCCGAAGTGATGTAACATAAGTGGTGCCGCATATCATCCACAATGTCAGAGGTTTGATCCCAGAATGAATCTCGTTCAACCCAAGCAAACCTTCCATCCCACCGGTTTCGCCTATCTACTTGCTGTGTGGCTAGTCCTTCAGAATAAAAACACTGACATGCATTTCGGCTATTGCTCGCAAGTAGCTGTAAGGGTAAAATTTGGCAGCATGGACATTCAAATATCATCATGATTCTGGATTGGAGTAAAATGAAAATGCGCGGCGCATCCTATAAGGGCTTTACAACGCTGGTAGCTTCATCTTTGTCCTTTTAGTTGCTGAAAAGTATGCAGGAAATCGGACAGTCTTTGCCATGTGTCAAATTTCAGTTGTGTTCCAATTTTCCCGGTCCTTACAGTCTCCAGCGCACTTTTTCATTACGCCAAATTTGAAGCAAAATGTGTGAAGTTTAAAAGCAGCTCCTGAGCAAGCTTAACAAAATCCAACACTTCTGCAATTCTCAGCAGGATTCAATTGCATGGCGCAATCCCATAGCATTGACTGCTCTAACGTTCGCAACTCATTATTATAAAAATCAGACCATCAAATTCAAAACTGAAGCATAATGAAGGATGAGCAAACCTCCAAGTCGTAGATGGACTTTGTTGGAGACAGCTGTGCCAAAAATATTCGACACGAAACACTGATAATAGCCCTCATGAGATCGTTTCGGCTTCAAAAACTGGATGGTGCCCGATTGTCCGGCTCGGACCCATTCGATATCTCCACCGATCTCCAGCTGTTCACCGTTTTTATACCAAACAAATCTGAATAGAAGACATTCAAGGTTACTGTACGTACAGTGAACGGCTACTGTATGCCTTACGATTCTGCGTTGTCAGATGCTTGACATTTCAGCGTCGGTCGAGCATGCGGACTGAGATTCTCATCAAGTTGATACCAAACCTCTTCTGGAGGTTGGACTAGCAGTTTCGGTGGCCCTATATATTGCCATTAATGTTCGTACCGTGAAATAGACCAAGACGACTTACCGAAGGTGGCAAAGGCATAAGTGAAGTCCCATGCTACGCAAGCCAACAGCAGAATCGTCAGCATCTCATCTGGGATCTATAACAGCTGCATTTAGTGGCTTGCCTCGAGCTACTGAATGACGACGGCGTGCCCAAAATTATGAAAGATGGTGTCAATGTCATAAAACGCTGAGACAATAGCAAGAAAAGGCAGTTAATAGAGGGTAATCATGTCCTGGTTCAACCGAGCTTCCGGCGAAACACCTGACTATAAAAGCGTTGCAGGCGAATCAATACGTGCAGTTCTATGTAAAAACTAAGTTAATCGTACATTTAGTTAACGACTGACTGCTCTGCTGCACAGTGTGCAAAGAAGCTGTTTTCGACGTGTGTACATAGTTTGCACAATGAGATCTACCGTAAAGGGACGGCACCATCTGTATGTAAATTAAGAGGTGCAAAATTTGTCTGCGGAGAGACCTACGCGCATGGCACGTTGCCGATTCCAAAATCGAGAAATATGAGCGCTGTTTGACAACATGGCGCATCTGGAATAGGATAAGGGGAATATGAGGTTGGTACGATCACCAGCAAGGATTTACAGGGGTGGGCCAAAAACGTGAGTAAGAAAAGATATTCTTTCATTAAAAACGAATGTTTGGCCGAGTGAAACAAGCAAACCTCAAAATGTTAGTCACTCTTACCACAAAACAAACACTAGCATTGGTTCGAAAACTGCCTGTTGCGTTCGTACAGGCCTCCTGAAGAGGGAGGGCGTACACGGTGGCACACAGGTGAGATATTTCAGAATGCCTTTCAGGTTTTTGGTGCGCCATCTACATTTATTTATTTATTTATTTATTATTTATTACACGAAGATTCACTCATGTGAAGTAGAGAAAAAGAAGTGATAGACGAACAAACACCATCATGAAACTCACAACTTCCATCGCAAGAAGAACCGCAAAAAAAACAACAGCGAATCGGGCATACTTTACGGAACGTACTTGTCTATGGTGTTCTCAAAGGGGTCGACAACCCACAGGGAAAGTTCTAGTTCTATTTAGCTCGAAGTAATCTCTCCAGCTTTAAGTATAAAAAAATGAAATCTCAAATTGTGGTTACAATTAGCACGTGGAATTAGACGCTTCATACTACTCCCAGGGAAACAGAAATTGCAAGAATTCTCCAATTTCTCCCCTCTTGTGACCTCGGCATGTTAGTTGTAAGTTTTTTTTTTTTCTTGTGCCTTACGAGGTTGTTCGGTGGAACCTTTTATTAATGGCCTAACGTTTCGACTGAATCGTCGTCTTCAGAGGCCTGAACGTGTTTCAAGCGTTAGACTTACGCTCTACACCACCAAGCGCCTCATCAACTCTAGCGGTTTCGACATCGTGTCAGAAACCCCTCGAGAAGATCAGAACAGTGCGAGAAATAAACTCACCGACGGTTCCACCCTTTTGAGCGGAGAGGTCCGGTGCCACACATGCGCGATAGTTAGAATTTCAAGGGTTTTAAGTATGCTATAGCGGTGTCCATGTCATTAGGAGGAACACTTAAGTAGGTAAGTAGCTGTTATACTCATAGAATATGGGACTAAGTACTTTGTTCTCGCTGTATTTTCTCCCCACTTTGTCCTAGTGTCACCAACCAGTGGTATCTGAATAGCCTGCTTCAAATGTCTCCTTGATGACATGATCCCCACTATTGTTTCTAGGTTTACCAGGCAGAGAACCCAGGGGCTTCCTGTAGCCTGTGCTCATAAAATA